TAGTTTTGTGTGCGCATGGTGTTTTGTTGATTTAGCAAACTTTAGAGGCCCTATTTAAGGTCACATAAACATTAAACATTAGCCCCAGTAGCTTATTCCTGTTTTTTTTTCTTTTCTGCTGTGTGGCAGTCTGACATAAACAGTTTATGATTTTACGTTATATCACATGCAAACTTACCAACATCTGTTGGGGCGATAATGGCCTCCTCAGAAAAGCCCAGAGATAAAGCAAAAGATCTAAATCTCTCAATTAGATCTGGTCTTAGTATGGATGACCGTCCTAGGAGCAATGTTTCTGACAAATTAGCATGCCTCAACAATATGTCCAAGACAGCATATGATACTTCTTTTACATCATCAGTTCAGACTTACCATAAAGAGCTACTTGAGTGTACTCTTTGTTCATGTTCTTGTATTTAAGGACCAAACTATAATCTGTGTAATTGGTCTCCACTATCGTGATGTCTTTTGTTGTCCTGTGCCCTTAACAAAAGGTCAGACACATCATGTCAATTTTAAATTAAGGGATTGTTTGTGATCTGTTTATGTTTGTGTAAATTTTATAAAGATGTGTATAGTAAAATTGAAGTACAGCAGTCAACATTTGAAGTGGATCAAGAAAGTTCTTCAAAGTTGTCCTAAGACAAGAACAGGCATTTTTAAAAAATGAATGTATAACTTTGATGAAAGGTTTTGATCCACTTCAAATGTTGACTACTATATACAAGTTTATAAAGTCATAGAGTGCAGCTAAAACCTATAGGCCTACTGAAAAAAATGGTATCTTAAAAATTGTAAGTAAAATATCATTTAATATCACTGAATCTAAATACATTAATTTATACAGACACATTTTTTTTATGGGTTAAAAAAAGGTAGAAATATTATTTTAAAGTAACAATCGCATTTTTACAATTTAGTATAATTTTATTCAGTTTTGCACTATATTCTCAAAATGCTGTATATAATAATTATTAAGAAATATCTTGTTATTTTTTTTCTGGTAGATCTGATGAAGGTTTAAATATATTTGAAAGTTTTTGAGAGTTGCTGATGTCAGTTCTGTGAACAATGACGCCATGTGATAAGAAACATGTGATGTAAGCACAAAGATGTTAGAGAAAGGAAATGAGAGCTTACTTTTGCTAAAGTAAGTGAACTCTCCAGGAACATCTGTCTTCTCGTATGAATAAACATTGACGGAGCATCCATATGGCCTGTTAGTTCAAAAATATACAGATTGTTAGCGCAGAGCTCAAATATTACATGTTTTACAATGTTGTCCCTTTGTTATTCGAGATGGTGGGATAATGTAAATATGAAACAATATCTTGTCCAAAATGATGCACCTCATGGTCCACATGGTTAGGTTCACATTTCCACCATTGCCATTTGGTACCAGAAGACCTTTAGAAACCTTCAGCTGGTTTTTGAACATTGCAAACAGCGCGGATTCATCTGCAAGTCCAATACGGTACCATTCACCTGCAAACTGACAGTAAAAGGAAGTAAAAAAGGGTTTGCAGTTCACTAAGTTTTCCAAGGGTTCTGTAGTACAGGCTGATGGTTATATAGCCTGTATAATTACTATTATTAAAGAAAATACAGTGCCTGAAAAAGAATTAGCTTTACATAATATGGTTCCATTTGTTAACATTATTAATTACATAATGTTAATTTCAACATTTACTAATAGATTCAAATAAGTGCATTGGTTTAATGGTCTTCAGCTGCTTCTTGAAAGATGTGATGGTTTTGGTAATGAGACCTTATTGTAAGGTGTTACCGAATTTGCCTTGTCATATTATTTCCTATTTCTAGAACTAACTAAATGTCTGCGGATTTTCAAACAAAATGTAATGTGGCACAAAGAGAAGCTGACACAATGCAGTATTCAATGTTAAGTTTAAGTTTCTTTCTGTAAACTCACATCACAACTAATACAGGAGTTATGAATATTTTTTACATCACGTTCAATATACTTCGAAACCACTCATTTTCATTCGTGTATCTGAATACTCTCAATAAAAAAATAGCAAAAACCTTTAGGGACACAACATTTTGTCACTGCAGTACCATTAAAAGGACAACTTTGTACCTTAAGGGTATTGCTACTCTATACTAAAATGCACCTTTTTGTGGTAAATAAGGTACAAAGTTGCCCTTTTATGGGTACTGCCCCAGAGACAAGCTGTTGTAACCCTAAAGGTACAATTCTTGCACATGTTTTTCTGACAGTGTAAGCTGATGTTAGGTAAACTTATATCCCACTGCAGGTCAACCTCTTCACTGTTTGAAACAAATATAATGCTGTGCACATTAAAAATTGAAAAGCATGCATTCAATGCTCAAACACCCCCAAAAATGATAAAATCATACTCACTTTCTCCAGATCAAAGTTGGGCTGAGGTTCAACAGGATGCTGTTTGTTGAAACCATGCGTCCCTAAAAACATACAAAGCAAAAGTGCTAATGCCAGATTCATGCTGAAAGTTCAAACACCTCTGTATGGAAATGCAAAACTAATGACATATCACAGGAGCGGTGGGGAAACTCCTGGGTTTATATTTGCCAACAGCAAGGCAATGTTTGTGAAGGACAGGAGCCCAGCCCCTATACACACAGTGCATGTGTACCGTCATCCTCCAGTTAACTGGAGACCAGCAGTGCAGACTTTTAAAACAGCAACAATTTTTGTATGTTAGAGAATCTGACATGAAATCACTGAAAAATGACAGAACAGAATACCGTAGGATTACAAAACATATTTGTCAGACATTCCTCTGGTGCATAACTATAGACATAATAGAAACACATAATGCTTTTTAAAAAAAAAAACAATCTTTGGACAACTCTGGTTTAAATGTTGTTCTACGGGGACAGACTGTGGGTGTAAGATGACCCTGGACTTTGACTTACACGGGCCCAACACAAACGTTACGACACCAATCTCTTCATTACAGTGTACACTGATGCAGAATTAAACAGAGATCTCTGAATACTCCTGAATACCTCTGCTTCTCAGACAGTGCATAATAACTTTATGCACATACTTTAAAAAATACAAGCACTGGATACTTCAAACAACAGCTGGAAGACTCTATTAATTTCACGAGTTCACACTTACATGGCCAGATAGAGTAAAGAGATTGCGTATTTGGCGTGGTGTCCGAGGGGAGGGCTCCGAGCTCGGAATTTGTCCTGAACTCAGAGTACTCCCCCATCCCTGGTTGGGATAGGGAGAATCGAGAGTGAGGAGTTGGGGTGGTGGAGGGATGCTGGAAAACTGTCGTGGGACAGAGGTAAGTCGGTTTTATATGTAGGCCTCCTCTCCTGCTGATTGGGTAGATTACCTGTACGTGCTCCTCCCGAAGTTTGTTGATAAAACATCATGAGACCACACAAGCTATGATGGATCATTGATGAACAACATCACTATACATGAAATGTCAAATAGTAACCACAAATAACTGGAACTGCATAAATAAAAAAAAAAAAAAAAAAAATTGACTTTAAGTTTATCAAGCGACGAGAATACTTTTTGTGCGCAAAAAACAAACAAAAATAACAACTTTATTCAACTATTCATTTCCTTCTCTGTGGGCCTCGAGATTTCACGTAGTGAAACTGCGCAACGCTTCTAGGTTGTACGTCACACGCATCACACACATGACCAGCGTTGGCCAATAGTGAGCCTACGTGCGACGTACAACACAGAAGCATTGCGCAGTTACACTACGTGAAATCTCACGGCCCACAGAGAAAGAAATGAATAGTTGAATAAAGTCTTTTTTTTTTTTTTTTTTTTACGCACAAAAAGTATTCTCGTCGCTTGATAAACTTAAAGATAGAGCCACTAGTCACTTGGACTATTTGAACGATGTCTTTAACTTTTCTGGGCCGGCCAGTTTCGATCCCTTAGAAGCCTATAGGAGTGAGACAGCTCTCAGATTTAATAAAAAATATCTTAATTTGTGTTCCGAAGATGAACGAAAGTCTTACGGGGTTGGAACAACATGAGGGTGAGTAATTACTGACAGAATTTTCATTTTGGGGTGAACTAACACTTTAAAATCACTATCTAGTACCAGACGGCATTCATTTTAATAAAAGTAATTCATTAGGGGGAAAAAAGGCAATTGACAAATGCTTAGAATGCTGAGGTTGTGCATTTTATCTGCATTTATCAGTATATTTAAAATATCATTTTACAAAATTCATTTTTCAATAAAAAAAAATCATACTTGGCACATCATCATTTGGCATTTAATTGTTCATCCTTGTCATTATTACAAAACAGCGAGTCACACTGTGCACACTCAGTACCATAATCCAAAGCAATACAACTTCACTTTTGAGAGTTGTGTTTAATTTTGCTCACCCCATGAATGAAGCAAACGACAGAGTTGTTCAGTAACCATGTGCATTGAATTAATTAGTATTAGTTAGTTTTATCGCAATTGGTTCAATTTCTTTGCTATACACCAGAAAAGAGCAAGTGAGGGCAGACAAAAATTTATGTAGTCACCCCAGTGCAACCATTTATTATTTAATTCTTACTTTTATAACAATATATCTACAGAATATAAAAATGAGTTTCAAGTTAAATTCAACATTTCAGAAATATTTTTGAGATGGATCAAATCAGATCAGATAGTAACTTGGGTTACATTTTAAATTAGAATGTGTGCCATGCACATACTAATTTCAAAATGTAACCCCCAAGCTACTATTTTGATGCAGAGGAATTGCAATGAAAACCAATGGAAATAAAGCTTATATAAACTGTGTGTTGTTCATGCAAAATTCTATTGAGACCTTTGTCAAAAAACAACCGTCATGTGACCAGCAAATAAGTTCACAATTAGACACATTGTAAAGTCATGATGTTTAAGGGTGTGGCAACAGTATAAAAATAAGTCATGTTAAAAATTCTTGAACATTGTCTGAAACATATCACATCAGCAACTAATCACACCAATTCAATGACAAATCACATTTTTGATCTGTAAACATTTACATTATTTGAAAACGTAATGAGATGCCTCTAATATGCCAATGCAACTAGTTTGTTTCTTCGATATTTTGGAGTTGGCACTGAGGAGAAAAGATGTCTAGCGCTGATGAGTCCCTTTAAAACGGGCTTGAATCTCCTCCAACGTTTTGCCCTTGGTCTCAGGGACAAAGAGAGCAGTGAATATGACATTGAGAGCGCACAGTCCTGAGAACATCCAGAATGTCCCTGCACTAGTTATGGCATCCTGAAAGAGATCATGTATTAGACCTGTTCATTAAACCAAGAACGTTCCTGGGGAAAATACATAACCGTCAGCTCACCATGAGGTTCTGGAAGGTCTTGGTGACAATGAAGGCACAGGTCCAGTTGGTAAGCACACACAGAGCACTGCCCATTCCCCTCACTCGTGTGGGAAAGATCTCGGACATCACCAGCCAAGGAGTAGGACCCCAACCAAGAGCAAAACCTGGTAAACACATGCGTTTATGATAGTCTGACTAATAGTCAGTTCACTTATCTTACGCATCGTCTTATTTCACCAAAAATATGAATTGGACAAAAACGCAAGTATAGCTACATCATTTTTTTGAGAAATATTTTTTCTTTGAGGCATGTAGTAGCAGCAAGAAAACTAGATATCACTGTATGAATTTGATTCAGGTTTTTAAGTGCATTCATAAGATTATGTAAATATGTCTTAGAAAAACTACTTAAGATTGTTTATTGCACCAAGCAACTTGAAAGTAAATTAAATGGGTAACACTTTAGTTTAGAGTCCAGTTCTCACTATTAACTAGTTGCTTATTAGCATGCATATTATTAGGATTTGGGTGGGCTGTTTATTAGTACTTATAAAGCACATATTAATGCCTTTTTCTGCATGACCATATTCACCTCGTCTGTGAAACCAGGGGAAGGTTTCCTCAAGGTCTTGTCTCAATGTCCTAATACCCCTTAAATGACTTTTGCTCTTCAAAATAAGTAAATATACCAGTAAAATGGCAGTGTTTTGTCTTATAAAACATGAGTTTTTCACACAATGAAAATGTTTGATTGAAGTAGAAGTGGCCATGACATGAGTTGGCAGCTTTATCAATAGTTTGAGCTTGTTTGACTCGAGACTATAGAGCTTTCATCTGCTCATGTGATAGTCAGTGACCGTCTTGAGGAGATTCAAACATGAGGTTCTCAAAAAGCTGCTCAGAAAAAGTGTCAATGGATAGAATGGAGAGAGAGCGTGATCCAATGAAAGGTGATAAAGAGTGCAGCATGTATCTGTGAGGGCACGAACAATGCCACTCTAGTTATGTCCCAAATTATGCACTATACCAGTGGTTTCAAACCCTGGTCCTGGGCTGCGTCTCAATCAGCTCCAGAGCTCGTGAAACAGTATATCTGGTACACGAATCCGTGCACTAGTAAGGACCCTGGCTCACTACCCATTTAGACTACCGTACTCAATTTACGGCGACATTACATGTTGTAGAAGGTCACCGCTGGTAATAATCAACAACAGGCAGAACCTATATCTTTTTGATATTATTTTTTATGCCGTTTAAACACATTGTTCTGTTTCATATCATTACAACATTTCAGCCGACTATTAACTAGATGTGTTCACTACCCGTCTAGTGATTTGTGTTTATGCTGACATATAATAGTAATAAAAAAAAGTTTGTCTTTTCAAATCTTCCATCCCGTGTCATTATATTTATTGAGCTGGCTCGTGCGTTTTATGTTTTATGCGCTTCAGATATGTAACATTATTTCTGCTAAGGGAGCATAGTGAGCATCGATGCTCCCTGGTTTTTACTCCAGTACCAGGGTTGGGAACCACTGAACTATACCATATTTTTTCTTCAACCCTAATCTAACACAACCAAACAAGCTAATCAAGGTCCTCAGGATTACTAGAAAGTTATAGGCAGTGAGTTTAATCAAGGTTTGAGCTAAAAGTGGCTCTCAAGGGCCAGAGTTGAGAACCCCTGATCTAGTGTATGAATTATATAAGGTTATTTTGTCATCCAGCAACATAGTTTGATAATCCCTCCCTATTGGCTACTTAAGGAAAACTGTGACAGTTGAGTCCATGAATTGTCCAACATGAAGTCTGTTACGTCCTTGGGGACGTTTATAGTGCTTTCTTGGGGGTTTGTGTTTCTCTTTTTGGTCTCTTTTGTCTCTCTTACTTTCACTTTCACAGGCTGTCGCTGATTGGCTGTATTACCTGTCAATCACTCGTAACGAGTTGAGTGGGTTTGCCTTGTGAGGCGGGATCCTCATCATCCTGATGCTTGACACCTGGAGAAGCCCTAGTTAAGATGCATGCTAACACCAGGAAGGGAGAGAGATTTTTGGTTTTGCTTTGAGACGTTTTGTTTTCTCTTCGGTTGATTTAGTTCTGTTAAATGTTTGTTTTGTCTGTCATGTTACGCTTGCCTTTTGTTCCGAGTGCTCCCTGAAACTTCTCATTCGTGAGCTCTGAGTCTGTTAAACAGCTTTGCAAAGCTGGGTTAAGCGGGAAGGAGGAAGGGAATAGAGGGAATGCATTAACGTCACTTCCCCGCCGGAACACGCCCCCCTCAGCGGGACTGAGTGGCAGAAGAGCTGCTGCGTGACTGGAGTTAATAGGGGAAACTGCGTTAACGCGAGTAAAACAAACTATTATCAGTTTAAACTAAAAGTTGGACTCGATATAGTGTTCCTTACAACTTATCAAAGATCCAGTGATCCATGGATATTGACATGCAGCCAGGAATCGTGTTTCCTGACATTTATATGTGCCTGATTTCAACGCCTGGGAAATAAATTAAGAAAATTTGCCTGTAAACGTTTTATATAAATACAATATAGATAGGTCTAAATCCGAGTGATCACTTATATTAATGTTATACTGTATATCATCATATCGTCCAGCCCTAAAACTTGTATAGTTTTTTGTCAGTGTTTATTTAAAAACATCCAATTATGCAGAATATAGTCTGTTCTGTAGCTTTTTGCAGTCTGTAAAAATATACAGTACCTCAGATTTCTGGTCAAATCTAGTTGTACAGTCAATCGCAAAGCTCTTTCCCGTTTTAGATGTGTTTTGTGTGTTTTTCACGGCATTCACGCTGAAAACAAATGCTGCCGCTCAGTCTTTTTGCCACTTGTGGGCGTGACCGCATTCACTCCGGCCGACGGTGACGTCATGCGCATACCCTCTATACCGGTAGGTAAGATTGTCACGTGACATACATTTTTTTGTGTCTATATTCATTAGGTTAGGGATTTGTGCCACCCCCTGTATTTTTGTTTTCATTAGTCAGTATAGTTTATTTACGACGTCTCGGACGTTGAAGACTTTTTCTTTGATCTTTTGTTTTAGTTTAGGTTTAGATTGAAATGGTTTAGTTAGATTCGTTTTGCTTATGTTATTTTCGTTTGTTTGGCACACATCCTGTTTTCCCTTTCTTCCTTTTTTGCCTTGTTCACATGTAATATAAATTACTTTATCCTTATTAAATTACTTCTTCTTCTATTTTTGGTTGTGTCTCGTGATTCTCAACTCATACAGTGTTCAATAGAGACGTATGTCTGAATTGGTCTTATGTTCCCCTTCTAAAAATCCCTAGACAGGTGAGAGCCAAAGAAGGGTTGTAACAAGTCCATGAAGTGTTTTCGGTTAAGTAGGTGCATTGTCCAGGTATTTGAAGTGCCCTTTATCTGGTGTCTATATTACGATTAATTTGACTTTTCTGGACAGAAACAAATGATTCATGATTCAAAAATCCATAATTGTAATCGATGCTTTGAGAAAACAAGTGAATTGTTACACCCCTGGCACACATACAAACCAACAAACTGCAGTCGACTTCCCCTCTATGTATGTAGTTTTAGGCTAGAATAATCTGAACATTTCATCTTGCAGTGTTTTAGCAAATCTTAATACAGCTGCTGAATGATTCTTGTTCTATGGTAAGTTTCAGTGAAATATATTTCTACTAACCGGTAATGAAAAGGCCCATGCTTCCCACAGCCAGCCAGGTCAGGTCTGTCGGGGACTGCTCCGCCAGAGGACCTAGTAAACTCGTCAGTGAGGAGTTATTGTGCTTCATCACAGTCAGCTTGAAATACACTCCAAACACTGCTTCACTAACACACATGGTGACACCTTGTGGGGGAACCAAAATAGAAGATCATTCATTTTCTCGTTTCAAAAACAGTGGTGCAAATGTATTCCATGAAAGATGCTTCTACCAGACAAGATGAGAAGAACTTTCCGCCCAGCCTTGTCCATGATAACAGCAGCAACTGCAGTGAAGAACACCTGTGTGGCTGCAACAATAACAGTGGCCACATCGCTGCTCTGTGGCAGACAATAACATTACAGTGTGCGTTTACAGTAGCATGAAGGCTCTTCATAAATGAGTTTCATCAAACACTCACTTTGAAATGGGCTTGCTCGAAGATCGTCTCTGCGTAAAACATGATGGCATTAATGCCAGTAAATTGCTGGAAGAGCATCATCATAATGCCTACGCCTAAAGGCTTATAGATGCCAGGGTCCTTCAGATCCGCCAGACTGAAGCTTTGCTCCTGTAATCAATTAAATGTCAATCTTAGTGACTCATTAACACCCGTGCAAAAAATTATATTTCTTTATTAAAAAAAAAAAAAAAGCTATGGTAAGGTGAGATAAACTTAAAGTCATCAAAGATAAAATTAAACTTAAATTCTGGTTGGTTACACCCATATTTAATGATTCAATCAGTTCCTGTTAGATACAATTAAAGGTATAGTTTGTCAAAGTTCATAAAAACATCATAAAAGAAATCCATATTAATGGAGCAGTTTAATCCAAGTCTTCTGAAGAGACATGATTGCTTTTTAACATGAACAGATTTAATTTAGGCTTTTTTTTCCCCACATATAATCATTGGCCTTCCACAGGAACCAATGAGATTGTACATCAAGCAAGCACAGTTGAGCTTATGTTTACCATATTTGATGTGATCTTCTGCTCTATGTATGTGCCTTAGATCAATGCATTTTGATACATTTATATATTTGAATTAAAGCCTAAATTAAATTGGGATACCCTCATGTCTTTATTTAAATTAAAACATGAGGGTGAGTAAATTATGACAGAATTTACATTTTTGGGTGAACCAACCCTTGGGCCTGTTTACACTTCGGTCTAGCTATCCGATCGTGAAAAGAACAAGGGCCCCACAAAACAGGCCCCCAAAGAGGCGTTAGCCACTTCCGACGCACAAGTTGTGATTTATAAAAAAAAAAAAACATTTGCACACCTGCACGCAAACTCTGTCCCATGCGTACAAACATTTTGGAGACGGAGCAGTTTGGCAACACCGATGGTGAACTGAGGGCGGACGGCAGATGAAGGAAAACCACTTTAAATCCTAATCATAAATACAGTGCATGTTCACAATAACAGTTTAAATGAATAAAGGAATGATTTAAACTATGTTTTACAGCTGATATACACATTTAGATTAAATATGCCATTCTCATTAATGGAGTTAAGCACTTAAATTACATGAAATCATTACAGAGAAGTTACAACATTTTTTATATTCTAATAAATAGAAATATTTGTAGTCGATGCGATGCTTTTAAAAACTTTTCCTGTGGCATGCTGTTTTAATATTTTAACTACAGCGAGGATTGCTTTGCGCATGATAATAGCAGAACTCTGAGAAAATATTTTCACGCAAATAATGATCAATAATGCACAATAAGGCCTATCTGTTTCCATAAAAAATATAAAGCAATTAAAAATACAATTTGGCCAGTGGAAAAGATTGAGAAAAACTTTTTCTGAAATGTATTTTATGCTTATATTTGATTTATTTATTAAAAGAGCAAGGATAGGCTACTAAATGATTTTTTAGCAATGTAGTGTGATGACGGCACATCCGTATCTCATATTTTCCTAATGTCTTGTACCGTTAAACATGGTATCACGTGGATGATGACAATGCTGATAAAATGCAGCGCATACCTGTTGCTTTCTATGACATGAACTTCGTTAAATTTGCACATAGTGCGGGAATTGAAGATTGGATTTATATTCGTTTTGGGGATACATTTGTGGCCAAGTGTGAATGGAACCGTTTTAAAAAATCAGATAGCTATCCGATCAGTTAAAATGCATGAAATGACCAGGTGTAAACAGGCCCTTTAAGTTGGCCAACATTTTTTGTCATTGAGTTTACAGTTCACTCAAAAATAATTCACACTATAAAAGTAAAATGCCAATTCATGTTCATTTTTCAATTTGAAAAGCAGCTCAACAAAGTTTGAGATGTGAAATGAAAAATTTGTTATGTCTAACTTCATTTTTGTAGGCCTCTTCTATCCTAGCACACTCCCACTCTACAGGGGCATCAGGACCCCTGAGGAAGCGCAGGGCCTCCTCTGCCTCTCTTCTTTTCCCTTGGGAGAGCAGGAACCGTGGCGTTTCCGGCATGAAGCACATACACACCAGCATTAGTGTGGGAGGGATAGAGGATGTGATTGCTAACCATCGCCAGTCCAAGAACAAACCTGATAAAATTAATTTTTGCATTACTTAAAGCGTACTTCACCCAAAAATTACAATTCTGTCATCATTTCCTCAACTACAACTGATCACACAGTATGGGTCAAGTTCTCACACTATTCATGTAAACACAGCTCAGACAGAGCCATGTACAATGCAGGCTCTGTGCATTTCGAAGAGGGACATTCCTGTGCTAACTCCTGACCTATCCCACTAATGCAATACTGAAAGTCACTAGAGTCATTCCACAAGGATTCTCGAGAGCAAAAATTAGGATGGCATTCACACGCATCTGAGCTGATTTCAAAGAACAAAGTATTATAGTGCAGGGCTACATTGGAAAAGAGACATTATATGTGCAACATCTCGCTGATGTCATTAACAATCATTCTGATTAAACATTAACAGTCATCTCACACAGCTAACTGGAGCAGAACAGCTCTTTTACTATCAAAGGCACTCAAGTGTCATAATGCAGTCACAAGATTAAAATGAAAGCCAATACCTGTTATATAGGCTCCCATAATGCCTATCACAACCATAAGTTGCACGCAGGATCCCAAAGTTCCCCGAACACGCTCATGAGCCATTTCAGAGATGTATAGCTGCAGAAATAGAGAGAAAAAACAAGACAAGTGGATAATGTGCTATTGATCTAAATATCAATGAGTTTGATATATATATATATATATATATATATATATATATATATATATATATATTATATAGTATACACACTCACTCCACTGTTAAACATGATTATTTAAAAAAAGAATTGAAATAAATGTGGACTGATGGCTTCAACACAGTCAGTTATCGCTAAAAAATAAATTCTCCTGGAGTAAATGAATGGGATTTTTACTTTACTTCTGTTACGGTCTATAATAATAATATAATAATAATAATTTAGTCAATAGTTTTATTATGATTATTATCATTATACTCTGCAGTCTGCACATGGCAATAAAAAGGGAATTCTTACAGGTACAACAAGAGAAGTCACTCCACTGGCCAGACCAGTGAGAACTCTGCCCACATATAACATCCAGTGGTTCTGAGCAGCAATAATAATGGTAAACCCAAAGATGAATGGAATTGCACAGAACATAAGGCTCAATTTTCGTCCAATCTTCTCCACAATCCATCCTCCCAGAAGACCCCCAAGAGCTGCACCAACGGTCACCACAGCCTATGAGACAGAAAAGTATAGGCTAATGTTGAAATATCTGAACCAGTGTCAGTATTTTTAAAACTCAAATGTCAATGCACTTACAACTACATTTAGAGTATTGGTTCTCTTTTAAATACCCTCCAGCTCTGACACTACAATGATAACGTAAGTTCTGGGAACTGAAAATGACAAGCATTTCCTTTATTGTACTGCCAAATTGTGGTAAAAAGAAAAAGAAAAAAAAAAGAGTCACATTTAGAAGTAAAACCGGACCAAAAGCATTCACATACCCCAAACCAGGAAGCCTCATCTTTGCTGAGCTGCAGTCTCGGGTCTTGAATTCTGCAGAGTTCAGGTATGGCAGGAGAGCTGTAGCCCAGCACAAACCCAAAACTCAGGGGTCCTAGAACTGCTGCGAATGTGGCCATGTACAACTTCCCATTCTTAACTTTACTGTTGAGCGAAACGTTAAAATGAGAGAAGAAACAATACATATTGTTTCATAACAAGTTTCATAATTCTTGTTGAACATGTTTTCCAGTTGGGAACCCTTTATGGAAAGTCATTGCAGTTTTTCTGGTATGACAATATTTGAATATTTCCTCATTCATTTTGAACAGATTACTGAGTAAATAACAGTTTTAAGTGCCAATTCTCTGTAAAAAAACAACAACAACAAAACAGTAGTAGTAATTTGAGGATAGCTAAACCATGATGTTCTTTGAACCACCTTGACAACCATTATTGTACATGAGATCTTCCCAGAACTTTTTTTTTTTTTTTGTAAGAAGAAAACCCCTTAAGACAATAAAGTGACACTTACTCCAGGTATGAGTCCTGCTCGGATCTGCCCTCTTCTGTTTGCTCATCATTGACCAACAGTGGTCTGGTCTCATGATCCATCGTGTCTCCTCTTAAATGATAATCAAGTAATCAAGCAGTTCATAGATGATAGCCACGGACAAATTGTGTTTTTATGTCATACATAACAACTAACAAAAAACGAACAAGTCCAGCCAGTGATGTTTTGGCATCCCGGGTCCACTCACTGCATATTCAGCAAACCAGCGTCATTGTTGTCAGCTGATGCATGTGACAATAATAATACGGCCATTGATTTCAAAATAAGAGTCCTAACTTTTCTTTTGCCTTGCCTTGCTGGTCCTTTCCACAGACTGTACAAAATGTAATTATACACAAAGTACACGTTGACTATACGTCATAATTTTTATATCTATTCATTTGTCACTTTGCACTAAATGGCATTTTTTAAGATATTGCTTAGAAGAAAAAAAATTCTACATGCGGCCGTCTCTCTTTTTTTTGCCATTCAGCTGTTCCCATAGTTACTTAATGTTTTTTTAGTGAGTGCTTTTAGTGAGGCACTGCATTGTTTGTCGATTTTCTTTGGTTGTGGGAAACAAACGTGAGGCCTCTGTAGGATTTTTATTTTCTTTAAGTGATTTTATGAACAACTTTTAAGTTTACGTGTTGTCAATATATCCACCTGCTGACTGATGTGCTGAGGTTTGTAGTTTAAATTGTGTGTACAACATTCTTTTGCTGTGTCTGAGAGTACATAACGTTACTTGTACTTGTACATTCTCAGGCTGCATGAGATGAACATGTTTATGTTGTTGTTTTTTCAGAAGGAAGAATCATTCCTGATCATGTCTGATTCATCCAAGAAAAACACCAGTGAATCTATAGTATGCAAATGAAAACACACACACACACACACACACACACACACACACACACACACACACACACACACACACACACACACACACACACACACACACACACACACACACACACACACACACACACACACACACACACACACACACTGATGGTCAAAAGTTTGGAATAATTAAGGTTTTTACCCAGACAGCAATATAGTGTTGGACATCATCTGGTACTGGCCGGATCTGGGCAGACACTATATTGCTGTCTGGGTAATGTCTCTTATGCTCACCAAGGCTGCATTTATTTGATAGTAAAACAGTAATATTGTGACATTTTTTCAGACCCCAGAAATGAAAAAGAAACATATATTTGGGGAGCTCATAATAAAAGAAAAGGCTGACAAACAGTAAGTAAACATATGTTTATAAAAAAACCCATATAATCTTACTGAGAACCATACTACATGCCTACAATACATTTCTAGTTATGAAGCAGGTGTTGGTGCCATGTCACAGTCTCAGTTTGACAAGGCTGTGTCCTGTTTCTCAAAGGCCATCCTGCTCCAGTCACAGCAGGTAGAGGCCAGGCAGACTGTAGTGTGGCTTGTATACAGTACTTCATAATTATTTGGCCCTGAACATTTATCACATTTTTTTTTCTAATACCTGCAGACTGAGTTTTATGTCCAGCGAGCAGAAGCATATCTTCAGCTGTGTGACTTCCAGTCCGCAGCACTAGATTACAAACACGCCTGCAGTCTCCAACCACAAACTGAGGCCTACCCTCAACGACTCGCCTTCATATACTACCTACAGGTACAAGAATTCATTTATTCACATATAATAGAAATCAGATTAGGAGCTATGAATATTACAATCTATGGATCACTTTTTCTGTTTGTGTTTTGAAATTTAGGCCTATCCATTAATTTTTTATTACTTCATTGAAATTTTCAATGTTATCAATATTTGTATGCATATTTGAAATGCATTTTCCATGCAAAAAATGTGCAGAAATTTAAAGCCACCATCACAACGGTTCTTTGCCACAAACATTGTTATGTCTGTATGTTTTAACTGTCATTGCAGGGCCAGTGTCTTTTTGATTTGGGGAAGTTTCTGGAGGCTCTGGATTCTTTCACGAAAGCTGCAGAACTTAAACCCTGCTTCCGGCCTTATCACATGAGAAGGTCAGTGTAGATTTTTGAAGTGCCCTTCAAAGAGACTTGAATGCCCTTTCCAAATACCCACATTTGACTGTCCCATGTCTTAAAAGTGCCAAAGCTCAGTGCCCTTGATGCACACTAAACCCACACTATCTCGAATACCGCTTCGGTGCGTTATTCGAGGCTAAGCGTATCCCATCATGCATTATGCTCGGGAACTCACTTGCAATCGCGAGATGTCCAGGAAAACATTCCACTGTAAGTTAAATAAAAAATTAAGTAAAAATTAAATGAGATATTACGGTAACATTTTACAATAGGGTTCATTAGTCAACATTAGTTAACGAACTTAGATAACACTAAGAATGAACAATACTTCTTCAGCATTTATTAATCTTAGTTAATATTAATTTCAACATTAAAGTTTGTATTAGTTAATGCACTGTGAACTACAGTAACATGAACAAACAATGAACAGCTGTATTTTTATTAACTAAAATTAACAAAGATAAACAAATACAGTAACAAATGTATTGCTCATTGTTAGTTCATGTTAGTTAATACATTAACTAATGCTAACTAATGAACCTTATTGTAAAGTGTTACCGATAGTACATATACTTTGGTAGTAAAACAAAGTGTTGCACATTTTATTGATGCAAAGATGAGTGGGGAAAAATTCTGTTAGTTACGTAGTTGTACTACTGAGCAGACATTTAGAAGTTTATTTTAACATGCAAAGTATTGAAAAAAAAACCCCTCTGTAAACACATCGGGTAATCAAAAGTTCTATACACACTTGCGGTCTTCACGCCTACTTGAACACTTGGGCCAAATATAGGAAATAGGCTGCATCATGTAAGTAGACAAGTGGTCAAGTGCAAAGACTGCAAGTGTGGGTATTTGGACAGGGCAGAAGTCTGCATGCATCTGAACTAGCTAAAATAACCCCATGCTAACAAGCAATAGCATAAAATACCACCAGGTGGCGCTACAAGCTCTTTCTTCACCTTACTGTCACCTAAGATTCAGCTATTCACATTGAGTATTTCTCTAAATTTCCATCATGTGTATGTGCATAAGGCACATGCATAATTATAGGGTAACATAATTAAACATTACTGATATATTATTGATTAAAAGATTAAATGAAATATATTTGTAAATTGAAGTCACATTTAAAATATGTAAATGTCTTTGCATTGTCTAACTAAATATCAAAGTAGCGTTTATTGTAAAGAAATATAGTTAAAAATATAGCTCAGGAGACCTCAGGAGACCTCAAATAGACGTTTCATGGAAAACATTGTGCAAAAAGAAATTTCTTTTCACTAGGCCTAAATGAAGACAGAGGGTATTTGGACACCAAACAATTGACCAACCTATTACTAATTTCCACCTGTAACATTTAACAATTTTATTTAGCATGTCATTTTCTAAAGCTGAAAAAGGCTGAAAAGTCAGGTTAAAGTCTAAACAGTGTCAAAAATACCCTCAACAGTACGAAAGGGTTAGATGTCTTTAGAAAAAGTGCAGTTAGTCATTTAGTTTTGACATTTGATTTGATATTTTGGATCTAATGCAATGCAATTCAGACATTTTTAAGTGTGACGCAAGTCTTCAAAAGTGCCCGAACGCTGTTTTGGGCCACCGTGGATACCATGAGATCATAATTTTCCGTTATGTTTGCCTTTTTGTATATATATTCATAGCTTGGCTTGTCTGACTGCTCTGGGCCGTTACTCTGACTGTCTTCGGCCGGTCAGTAACTGGCTAGAGACGGACAGCCAGTCAGCTGACCTCCTCATTCTGAGAGCTCGCCTTCACCACCAGCTCAATCAGGTCAGACCATCATTCACAGCCTACAGAAAAACATTTCCCTTCAAGTGACTGTAATAAACAGGTAATAGGGCTTTATGTCTCCTCAGATGACTTTGTGCTATCATGACTTGAGGTCAGCACTCAGGCTGAAACCCTGCTGTCCCGTTGCACATGCACTGTTGAAGAGGCTAAAAGAAGCAGCGAAGAATGCCCATCAGGCAGCTGTTGATAAGGCATTGAAGGGAGAGCTTTCAGATGCACTGAGGAAAATAAACAGCGCTCTGAAGTATAACCCCAGTAAAGCACAGTACTACCTCTTTAGGTAAGGCTTAGAAGAGCTGCATATTTACAGCCTGCTAAAGAATTGGCTATTTCCGATATTAGGACATAAAATACAAATGATATTTATTCCAAATAGCTGACACTTAAACCAGTGGTTATTAATTTACTTTAATGAGATTATTCTATTTAAATTAGTGTTTGTAAATGCACACTAAATTAGAGTTTAGTGTAGAGTACAGATAAACTTAACAAATCGAATCAGAAGATCCTCTGTGTTTTCCTTATGCAAACAAAAATCTAACTTTTACAAAAACTAACTAAGTTTTTAAATACATTTTCTTTTACAATTATTATTATTTTTTTGATTTTGCGTTTCTAAGCAAAATACATACATTAACAGTAACAAATGTAGAGACACTGATCATATGTTATTACGATTCTCCATATTTTGCAAGAATTGTAATCAAATGACGCAAATCTATTATGAATATTTGAGCTATTTAAGCTATTGCTTCTTAAAATTTAATCTTTAAGATCTTACCAATCTTTTCAGCTGTGATAAGCATTAGAACCATCTTGTTAGTAGATGCTTTGTAAATGCTTTTAATCAAATCAAATAGTAAAGTAGACATATAATGTAGATTATACGAAAATAATGCACATTTTTTCTGCCTGCTCAAAGGGGGATTCTTTATCGGCGCCTGAGAGACTTCACTGCTGCCATTGAGGATTTAGTTCTTGCTGCTGAATTCTATGGGGTTGAAGAAGAACCTCCTCAGGAACCTATGCAAGACAACTCCGAGGATTTAGAGGAAGACGCTCAGACACAACTGGCGCTCACATACAATGATTTTGCAATTCAGTGCTTCTCCCGGGGTCTGCAAAGCGAAGCCATTAAGCTGCTGAACAAGGCCATAGAGAAACAGAGAGACGCAAGTGAGCTGTTCATCAACAGAGGAGGTGTGGACCCACAGTTAAAGAGGGTAACGGGTGTTGGGCTGAGAGTGGCTTAGAAAAATCGCAGAAAAGTATTCAGAGGGGAGGTTATTGAAATGAAAACTCTTGAATGGTTTGCTTGTTTCACTTTGCTTAAAGTAATAGAATTTGCATTATCCAGAGAAAATCTATCTCCTTTTCCCCGACCAGATTGTTTTTTTAAGCTTTGTGAGTGGAGCTTTGCACTGGCTGACTATCAGCAAGCAGAGGAGATGGACCCTGACAACACGGTTATCTGGCTACGACTTGCCGTTATTCACAACACAATGGGTCTGCACAGCTATGACGACAAGTAGGTTTAAACTATAGTGTTAAATGTGAAATTGAAAACATATTTCTTTATTTTATGCCTTTTGAGATCATTTTAGAAATGTGATTTGTTCCAGGAAGTACCAGGAAGCAGCAGACAAGTTTTCTGTTGCAATAAGGTACAACCCTGGTGAAGTTCATTACTATGAGAATCGGGCCAAAGCTTATAACAAAGTGGCCAAAATGGAAGAGGCCAGGAAGGATGCCATCAGTGTTCTTATCTTAGAGCCCACCAATGACCAGGCAAGTCTCTTTGTCACATTCCCAAACTATGGTGGATGTCCCCTGCTTAAAAATACAGCATAAACCAGCATCAATTCAGCCGGTATAGTGCTGGTTTAGCTGGTGGAACAGAATAGTCATGCTGTTCTCAAGCAAAACTGAGCGGCTGTAGCTGGTCCACCAGCACTGGTGACCAGCAAACCAGCAACCAGCATCCCATGCATGCAAAACATACTTTATGCTGGAAGTTTCAGCAGGGCAATCAAATATGGGTAAAATGTTGACGATGTCAAGGACCTATAATCCCCTTCCTGAAGGACTCCCTTCCTAAAATATAAAAGTGGCTACAGTATAAATTTTCATGTATACAGACCTATTTATACCATGCTCATTTATACCAAAAAGCAGTGTATTATAAAACATGTTGTTTCCAAAATTAATTATTTTGGCTTTATTTGTCATTGTATTAAAGCCTAATAGAATTGTCCATTTTTTGATCTCATGGTGACTTTAAAAATACAGTTATAGGCTGTTTTTTTTTGTTTTTGTTACCGATTAAATATTTTGTGTGATATATTTTATCTTATTTTTTTCTAACTGGGCTTGAACATAATAAAAATATGAAAAATAGCAAGTGTGCAAAAAACCTTAGATTTAAAAAGAAAATCTTTAAATTGAGTTAATTATTCCTAAATCTCGGTGTAGGTGGTGCCTTTGCTGTTGAGTCTGCTCCCAGGATGCTCCTTGACTGATATTATGTCCTGTGCTACTGCACAGTCAGTCAAAACCCTGCTGGTGGAAAAGATTCAAGCGTTCAAAATGGCAGCATCCAAGGTGTCAAGGTTTGTAGGCATGCATACTGAACTTGCTGAGGTTTAGTTTGATTATACAGTAGAGATGCCTGGGTTCTTATACCCTCAGATGTTATGGTCATTTGTGTGAATGTAGGTTTAATGCTAGGAATCAACTTTTAGTTTTAAGAGCACCATTTCTTCTGCTAGAATTGGCAGGATGGCCCTTGCCAAAGACGACAGCCAATCACAAACATCCTCACAGAAGCTACAAGCTGAGGATGGTCCATGCGTCACTCCAGAGGTGCACAGCAAACTAGTCAAGAGAAAACAGGTACAGCTGTGGCAGATCTACACATCAAATGTGATTACATTTACTTGTTGGTAGCATTGTAAATGCTGATCAATACAGTGATCCAGTGGCACATTATCACCAACACTATACAGACATTACCATTAAAATGAAAAATTACTAATGTGAACAATTAATATTTGAAATGACTGTTTTATAATTTAGTCTATACCTGTAGAGGCCAATGTGCTAATTTAGTATCACATAATTTTTTTAAATAATATTATCACAATTAGAAATGGTTGAAAACTATTTCTTTCATTTTTATTATATCATTCTCAGTTAAATATGTGTTTTCTCAGAAAGGCTAAATCTGTTAACTTGTGACATTAATCTCTTCTGTTTATGGTGTCAGCTGAATCAAGCTGTGAAAAGAGCCCTGCAGCAGAGGCAGCCCCTGGACTATGACGGGCCCCGTCTGGCCCCTATCCACCCTGTGCGTGAGGAGTCTAGCGCTCAGCAACAGGCATATTTGTGGAGGAAATTTGGGGGCTTTGGGCTCAATTGTTGAAGACTCATTGGAATGAATTATTCTGGTGACTGGGTAATCTGTTACTCCCATCATAATTTGGGTTTACTGAAGTGAAAACTTAAAGGGATGCTTCACTCAAACACGATCCCGTGATTCTCATTTTCTCACCATCATGTCATTCCTAACTTTCCAAATTCCTAACTGTTTCTTCTGTGGAGAGACAAACAAAGATGTTTTGGAGAACATTTGAGTCCAAACATCATTGGACCCCATTGACTTTCACTATATGGACAAAAAAATCGTTTTTTTTTCAAAATGTCTTCTTTTGTGTTCCACAAAGAAAGAAACGCATACAGGTTGGAACGATATGAATCATTTATGATATTTCCTTTTAGATTAGAGATTATTTTGATTTAGTCAATTCTTTGCTATAATTCAGTGGAAGTTGTTTTGTTCGGAGCAGCTGTTGCTGCTCAGAGGTCCTCAGCAGCTGGGGAAACAGCTGAGAAAGTGAGTGAGAGAAGAAAGCGAGAGAGAGAGAGAGAGAGAGAGAACAGTATAAAAACACCACTGGCAGCTGATCCCAGACTTTTATCACAGACACTTACACTCCCTTGCTAATAGTGAAACACATGTTTTCTGCCCCTAGAGAAGACAGCCTGAGATTTTTTGGCATGGTAATAATGGAACAATCAGACATAATTTTCTGACATTTATTGTCCTTCAGCAAAAAGAACATAACCTACATGAAACAAAGACTTTAATTTCTGTAATGGACCTTTTAGTCCAGTCTCTGGTATGCTGTGAAAAGGGCATTGTCTCAGCTGTGCGGTGATTTATAATCTTTACTAGACTTGCAGCTTATCTTTGTAGATAAGATGAAGTAACACTCACTTATCACATTATTGTCATCAATTATTTTTAATACAAATTTCTATGGTTCAACCCTTACTGCAGTTTTAAAATTGTCAAAATGATAGAAGTTTAAGATGTATCCTTCATGGCAGGGTCAGGATATTTGTGAATAGGATTACAGTACATCACTATGGGTGTGTTTGGAATAGCATATACTACTATTTCTTCATTATGCATTATGTACTGCATACTGTGTAGACTATGCACATTTCTACGTATATGTGTGGAACACGTGTGTCACGGTTTGGGTCCTCATCGGAGGCTTCGGAGCAAGTCGAAGATATATTTGCAGCAGTCTTATTTAAAAGCAAAATAAAACAAAACACTCCGGCACACGAGAACTACACAGAAGTAACATGAAGACACCAGACAAAGAGCCGAACTGAACAGAGGGTTTAAGGTAAGTTTACACGGCAATTATATGCATGCTTAAAACGGAAAAGCTTTTACTTTGAGTTTTCCGCATAGAGATGACACAATTATCAAAATGGTCCCCATTCACATTGATCCGCGAAAATGACTAAAAACGCTGTATTACCAGTGGCTCATTCAGGAATTAACAGCATTAGCTTAAGCTTTTCATTAGTTCTACTAAGTAGAAATAAGTACAGTAAGTTTATACATTTTTAAGAAGCACATTAAGCTCGACAGTAAACATAAAAAAATATGTCTGAGATAGAAGGAATGGATAGTTGATCTTCTTGGTTTAAATCCATTACCTCAAAAACAAAAAAAGTGGAAGAGGGCTGTGGCAGACTGTGAATTTCATGCTGCCAACCAGCAATCTAGATACGTTTGCTTTCGAATGAACCTTGCGGTGGTGGGGCTTGGTGGAGTTTCCTCAGACAGTGTGTGTGGGGTGGGGTGTGGGGTGGGGGGGCCGAGACCACGAACAAAGTGGTTTTAAACAGACAGTGGTCATAAAGAAGCCCATAAGTGCTTCACACTGGTGTAATAAAAGTGTAAGGTTACTCTTTTTGGCAGATTAGGACAGACAGCCAGGAGAGTCACGAGTTGCCAGCTTCCCCCCCAGACAAAAACACCTTTCTCTGGGCACAGGAGCTGGTGGCCTGGCCTCCAGTCAACGAAGTCTTTGCAGACCAAAATTTCATTCACGTTTGCTGGGAGACTGTTTTGTCTAAAACATGCCGCGTGTGTTTGTAATTTTTGGAGAGTGTTAGGAGCGTGCAGATGGACTGACTTAAATGGACTGAAGTCTGAAATTCAATGAAGTTTTAAGAAAGCCACAAGATTTTTCTTTCCTCACCGTTGTAATATAACAGTTCATTTTCCTTGAAAGTACACAAACAGAATAAATACTGTAATAAATCATAAAAAAACGATTTTATTCAAAAATTAAAAACAATAATAGATACATAAAATGAAATGAATTTAATGAATAAATATATTTACATAGAAACAATTTCTACAAACCTCCTGATTTGCTTAAAGAATGTATCTCCCTCCATCCACCGCTATATATATCAAACCGTTTGTTTGCTTCTTTATACTGTAGGTTTAGTTTAGGGTTTAGTTGTACCCAGATGATGTCTGACCTGTCTGGCACAAATAGATGAATATAAAGAATTTAATGGCCTCTTTTACAGTCTCTTAAATGGACATAGACAAGTGGTCCCTACTGAGGAACCTTTGAAAGAAAGTTTATTCATTTTGGATAGATAATGTGTCTGCTGTTTTTTGTGACTCATAAACTTTCCAGCTGTATTTGAGGAGTCAAATCCAGTTTTGGTCTTGGTCTTTTCTTTTCGGATGAACTCTCCTTGTCATGGGGAAAGTCTTCACTGTCACAGTCTTTATCTTGCAATGAGTCTTTAAACATACATTTCAGTACCTTTTCAGTGATTTTGACTATCAGGGCATCATGCTATCCCTACGAATAAGTTGTCCAAGGCATGCTTGGCCTGCTGGGAGGTCGTATAACTTTCCTCACTTTCAGGGTGCTGTTAACAGACACAGTTTCTTGCATTACATGGTGCGTGGCTGGGATTTGTCTAGCGGCAGGCCAGGACCACATGTCCGCATCCAGGGTTTTTGAGGAGTAGTCCAGATAGTCCTTGCTTTTTCCTTCATCTGAGGTTGTGATGTCTGCCATTGAGAAAAGGAGTGTGATTAACATGAGGGACAATCTCTGGGAAATTCAAGGTATAGTTCATCCAAAAATGACAATTCTGTCATCATTTAATCTCCCTCATGTTGTTCCAAACCTGTATGACTTACTTTCTTCTGTGAAGAAAGCATGTACATGGTACAGTTGCTCAAATTGCAATGAACGAGGACTGAGGCTTTTAAGCAATAATGGGACTCAAAAGGACCATAGAAGTATCATAAAAATGGTCCATACAACAAACACTATATTCCAAGTCGTCTGAAGTGATACGAAAACCTTTTTTTGTGACGAACAGACAGAATTTTAGAAAAGAGTCTGTCTACGTTCCGCAGCACAAACAACTTCCCTTCAAATTACGCCTCCCGCAAAGAAAAAAGTGTGAATGCCAATGACTGAAATTATCTTTTCAAGTACATTTATTTTATGCTTTAGGAATTGTTTGTAAGGCTAAATTATATTGCTTTTGAATTTTATGCAGTATTAAATAAAAGCTATTAAAAAAACATACCAATAAATTATAGAATCAAAAACATACCTATTGTATGGTAATTATAGCAACAAAACCTACCCTAAACCTAACCCTTATTGTACCCCTTCAGTACAATTAAAAATGACTGTAGAGTTTCATAATTCAAATTCTTAAAAAGCAAACAGGATGAGTTCTGCCGTCTGTGATCTATAGTGAAACAATAGGTGGAAAGGTGGCGATAGTCAAGCTAAAAAAACAGAGAAAATTGTAGTAAAAGAAGATCAGTACTAATGATGACATGAACTCTTTTTGACTTTTGGTGAATGACGACTTACATGGTCTGTTTCTCGAAGGATCGAGTTCACATTCACATTCAAGTTATACAGATTTGGAACAATGTGAGGGAGAATTAATGATGAACGAATTCTTATTTTTGAGTGAACAATCCCTTTAAATGCTCACTATGAGACTGTTTGTCATCTTAAAGAGGCTTTCAGTGTAAGGAAAGCACCTCTACAGCTTCGCTCTGATAAAAAGATGCATCATACACAGCAGCAGAGGGTGTAGCAGTTAAGTTTGGCTGCATTGCGTCCCGTCCCGGCGTAGCGGTTCTTCTTGGGCAGCAGCAGAATGAAGGACACAGCCAGTGACACATGGTAGAAACTGTGGACATAAGCATATTCCCAGTCCTGCAGAAGTAAATGAGCAAGTCATTACCGCAGTTACGCAGACATGCTTTTCTAACAAATTGTGTAATGTGTTCCTCCAGTTGCAGTAGCTGTTTAAGAGCTGCATCATATTTTTACCTCAAAATAGAAGCGAAGCATCAAAGCAAGAGCACCGAAGCAGAACCCTGGCCCCACTTGTTGAGTGTAAACACTTTTGTCTGGATAAAGGCCTTTCTTTTCCTTCATTTTCTGTAACTGGAACAATGAAAAAACAATATTGTAAAACCTTGCGAAAGCATTTGCGGTTGATAATAAAATCTTGAGTTTCCATGTTGTCAATATGAGCAAAATACAATTCCTCATCAAGCTTATTTGAGCTCCGCTCTTATGACTAGATTAATCTGATGCATTTGAAATAAAATATGTTTCTCTATGTTTTGGGCTTCCGTCCAAATCGAGATGGCATTTCTTTCCTCTTTTTGAAAACACTGTTTTCGCATTGTAGTGTGGACTGTGAAATCAGAAGAATTCGAAACCGATGACGCATGTTTAGTCCAACCCGATCTCACGGCAATTCGTATGAATTTTACGAGGTGGCTAATTTGTACGAATTCATACGACCTCACTCGTACGAATTTGTGCGATTTTTGCTAAATCGTACATATTTTACGAGTTGCCCAATTTGTATGAATTCGTACAAATGACCTACCCCTGACCCCGCCCCTAAACCTACCCATCACTGGGGTTTAGACAAATAGTCACCTTTTACTCACTTGTACGAATTCGTACGAATTGGTCGTGAGATAGCGTTGGTTTAGTCATGTGACGCATATTGCACCTATAGACCTTATGCACCAGAGAAACAACCGTGCAGCCATCTTTAGAATTTTGTCTTTGAACTTTCGTTTTTGTGGTAGCTCTGTATATTTCTATGACATCGCCGTCGAAGAGTAATTCGCTGTTGAAGTGGATTTACTTATTGTAGAGTTAACGAAAGTTAGGAGTGTAATGTTTGAAGCGGATGTCATAACAGATATGTCAGTAGACCAGGAAGATTTTTAAAATGAGCACTTCATTCATAAGTCCATACGATCTTACCTTCATGCTGTGGAAATTCAAACCGGAAGACAGAACACAACGAGCGCAACGCTGAAAGGGGGCGGGGCTAGATTTGGTCTATAGATATCTATGTTTATACCGGCATGTGCCAGCTATGTTCTATTCACTTGCACAGTGCTACTAAAGATAAATGTTTGTTCTTTGTACTCTTCATATTACATTCCTGCAATGATGACAGAAAACTCGCAATTGCTGTCTTGTGGTAAAACGTTAAAGTGTTTTAAACCGAATGGAAAGTGTGACCTGGACAGTAATTGGTGGGATATTTTGCTAATAAAATAATCGAGCCAGAAGACAGCATGAGAACTGTATAATGTCTGGCCTCTCTGTATCATCTTAGTGGGCTTTTAATACGTTTTAGAAAGAAGAATTAAGCGTTTTCCGAAGTTTCAGTGTGAACGAGAAATGTTTGGAAAATGCTAGTTTGGACGGAGAGCGTTTTGTAACGAAAATGCCATTATCAAATGCATGTGGATTAATGTAAACGTAGCCTTAAAAGCACTGCATCTGATGTGTCTCAAACTCACCCATTTGACTGTTATCATAAAGACAGCTGTTCCAATGGGGCCGGAGTAGATGCCGTAGCCCCATCGGTCCTGGTAGATCCTCACAGCCGCGGTCAACACACCAAACATGGTGAGCGAAGAGCGCTTGGGTTCATCGAAATCTCCCAGTGCTGGATGAGAGCAAATGGACACATATTCTTTACATGACACACCGGAATGCAAGATATAAACACTCGTCACACTTCTCACGAAAAAATAATATTTTAAATCACTTTGTTTGACTGTTTGACCCGTGGGAGTGCACGTGTATTTTATTATAAAAAGATTTATACCTTTGCAGAACATTATTGAGATTTGCTCACCTAGGATATGGAGATGCTATTATTATTTGCTCACCTAGTAGTGTGACCCACATGGAGATAGCTGTGCCGTACACGCTGAAGTACTCCAGAATCTCGTACTTCATGAAACAGAGAATGGACAAGCCTGGACCATCACACGCATGGTAAATCTGAGAACAGATGGAGAAAACACATGACTGCTAAGTCACCTTGATAGAGAGGTATCTGCTGAGAACATAAATGTAAATTTAAAAGGCTCTAGAATAGATTAGATGAAACTTTCCGTGTTCTTGTCTGGAAAAATGTATTAACAAGCCCCTTTTTTATGGCCGTAGTCAGATATGCCTCTAGTTGTACTATCAGTTGTGGTTCAGATTAGGCCAACTGAAGTAGCTTGAGTTTTGTAAACTTTACATTATTGGTTGTTTTTGTAATGCATTGGGAATTCAGGGCCATGTCACAAAGAAAGTGTCATTACATTCCAATACGATCCTTTTCAGTTGTTTTTCTACCTAAAGCTAGATCCATCTTTGACCATTGCACCACTTCTCACAACTTTTTCTGCATCTTGTTAAGATGACATGTCAAGGTAAAATAAATAATATACCTAAAATTAGCTTTAATTGAGATGAAAATATCATACCTGTCATTTCAATGTACGGTTTTTGCATTTGTAATGTTGTTTTTCTCTGTAAAGTTAGATTCACCATTGTGTCGCTTCACACACAAGCACCACATTAAGACAGTGTGTCTACTTTAAAAACACATTCTTTTCTACCGTTTTTTTTTGCGCTGCTTTTGGCGTTTTCAAATGTAAGACCGTGTTCTGTGTGGAGGGCCCCTTAAAGAGTTTGTTCACCCAAAAAAATTAAGTTCTGTCATAATTTACTCGCCCTCAAGTTGTTCCAAACCTGTATGACTTTCTAACTCAAAATAATTGAAGAATGTCGGAATATGGGGCAGATTGACTTCCATAGTATTTTTCAAAAGGGCCCATAAACTGTTTGGTTACCCGTATTCTTCAAAATATCTTCTTTTGTGTTCAGTGGAAGAAAGAAATTCATACAAGTTTGGAACAACTTGAGGGTGAGTAAATTATGACAAATTTCACTTTTGGGTGAACTATCCCTTTAAGCACAAGTACATCATTACTAATGACAGATACACAAGCTGTAAAGATACTGTAATCTCTTAGTACATTTCTTCACACATCTTTCAAATGAATAAAGAAAATGCTGTTTTTCATTACAAATCAATAAAAGCACCCATTCTCTTACCGCTATGAAGAACATTGTGAAGAAATAGACCATGGCCTCCATGTGAAAGCCCCTCTTGGCGGCCACACTGGCGGCAGGCAGGAACACCAAACTGCTGATGGTGGGCAGCAACATCTTGGCGATAAACGCTCCCATTGTGACCCAAATAAAAGGATTTGTCAGCAACTTGTCTGTTTGTTTCAAACCACCAGATCTTTTGGAGAAGCGACCGAGAGAGTGAAGAAGGATCTCTCACATGCTCACAACCTCCTCTGGAGGATCTTTAAAGTTTAAATGGCTCAGAGGGGTATGTATGCGCACTGTCATCCGAACAGCAGCTGTCTGCGTGAGGACTGGGAGAGGCCTGCAATCACATGGCACGCTTCTGTCACACATGTTTGGGTTTGTGGAACAACAGCAGCGGGACAAAAGTGAAGCTATTTGTGGTGAACTTCACAATCTATGGAATCACAGAGTCAATGCTGAGTTAAAGTTTTTCCACGCATTAAAAAATATGGCTGGTGCGCCATTGGGCGTACAGAGAATTCTTTGAAATGTATTTTTCTCTGGTCAGTCTGGACGGCAATGTGTTGAGTCTCAGACATTGAGCTTCTCATGGGTGAATCGATCCTCAGCAGTGGCTATAGAAACAGCTGTCTCTTTTGGGTTATTGACATTGGCCTCGCGAAAGCACCTGGATGCGTCATTGCAAATCTGTGTTTGACGTGAATGTGGTTCTGAGGGTAAAAAAAATGTGACTGGTTCTGGTAAGGTGTAGGCTTAAGATGTTTGTGTTAGAGACCTGTGAGTCTTGTGTAGACCCATACCAGATGTACTGATAGACCAAGAGCCTATTAAATGAATAAAGGGAACCCAAGAACAAGTTCTTACTTTGTACTGGTCACATTTCACGTGGTCAAAATATGTCTTTTATATCTTTGAAATCTATGAATTTATGCTGCTGAAACATTTTAGTATCTAAAATGTCTATATTGACATTGCAAAAAGTCAAAAACTCCTCCAAGCATCAGATGATCTGCATCAGCATCCATTTAATTCAGCGTAAATGGCAGAAAAGACTTGTTCACTCTGAATCAATAGGAAACAGATGTGACTTAGTGACGTTTCTCTAATTTAAACATAGTGTTATTGAAATTTAGCACATTAAATGGCAGCAAGATGAGCTGTAAATGCTTGTGTTCTTGCAACACCACGGGACGATTTAACCTTACCATTCTGTATCCTGTGGCTTTTTTGATGTGGCTTTAACGACTTTCTAAATAAGACTTCACACAGTCCACAACAGTTAGGAAAGTCCTTATTTTGTTATTTTGAGCACGAGGGAGAGTCTTGCTATGAACTTTGTGGCTGGTCAGTCACAGCTGTTCTTCTCTCAGCTGTTGCACCTGCGAGAGGAGCACAAAGGGTGCAGTGTGCTGAGTGCTCCTCACGCCCGACATTCTCTAAGTTACTCTGTAACGTGATTCTCCAAGACACCAGAGAGATTGCAAACCTCAGATACTTACAGAAGAGTCCACTTTCTTGACCAGTCACTGTCCTGGAATGAGGAGTCACATTTGGGGTCACATGCTAAAAAGTGCAACATCATTGCTTTCACTTGTCCATCTCGCTGTGGACACATTTTTGTGTAGCACTGCTGCTGAATTTGGCCTTGCAAAGTCAAATGATTTGAAATTTAATACTCTTACAAAAAATTTGTTAATTCAAGTGTGCTTTAGTATACTTCTTTTGAACTTAAAACAAGAAAGTATACTTTTAGTCTACTTTTGATGTACTTCTCAGAAGTATACTTAAAATTACACTTAACTGGGCCTATACTTGACTTATACTGACAGAAAAGTATTTGGCCTATAGCCTACTTGCATCTTTAGATCGAGGTATGATTAAGTATTCAAAGTATACTTGGCTTGTGTTTACTCTTTTGATTGAGTAGCTTATTAAATACTTTTCTTTCACATAGTTTTACATACTGTCTTATAAACTTACATTTTTTGTAAATATTGATGTTTCTTATTTTGAGATTGAGCATTTTTGTTTAGTCCACTGGTAGTGTACAGGAATACCAAATCTACTTAAGAGTACAGGTAAAGGTATATCACAAGTAAAAATGAATACCTAAATAGGATATCTTTAAAGTGCAATAAATAAATATGATGTTGTTCACTTAAAGAAAACGCACAAGTGTACTTGCAGTATAAACTATACTAAACTAGTAGTTTACTTCAAAGTGTACTTTCATAAACTAAACAATTACAAGTACTTAACTGGTAAACCATGTTAGTTCACTTGTTGCAGTACAAACGGAAAACAGTTGTAAACTAGTTGTGCACTCAAAGTTTACTGTTACACTTAAACTTAAAAGTATACTTCTGGTACATTGATATTAGTATACTACATTAAGTATACCTAAAATATACTTGAACATTACTTAAGTATACTTAATAAAATTAACTTGAAGTATACTTATTTTTTTGTAAGGGTATTCATAAAATTTGTCAAAGGCAGGTATTCTCAACTTTTTTTTAGTGTGCATTTTTTAGGTTCCATAATATTTTAGTGAGTTTAGTGAAATTCTGACACAAACCCCTAAGCTGGATTGTTACATTGACACAGTTTTTGAAATCTTCTGCGCTCTCATATGAATCCCGAGCTGAGAACCTCTGGTCCATGGCATGCGTATTTTTGGATGGATTAAACTTTGTTGACTTAAAAGTCTGTATGTTATCTTTGAAATGAGGGCCTGAGAAAAAAAGATCATCACTCACTATCAGAAGATTCAATAAAGGAAGCATTTCTTTTAATGATGTCTCAACAGTTGTTTCGGCAACATTATCCATATAAAACATAAGTCCCTAATTCAGGTGATTTTAACATCATTTCATTTTAATGGGAAAAAAATGAATCAAATTTTGAAATTAGCCTATGATTATTTTCAGAAAATCTGAAAATGTATATGTAATTTAGCTCCTCAACTATAAACATTCTGTTTGTAAAAGGGTTTGTCTAAAACATGTTTAAAGGGGTGGTATGCCCCGTTTTACAATAAGTATAATTGTATAAAAGTATCTGTTGTCCCCAGAGTGTGTATGTGAAGTTTTAGCTCAAAATACCCCACAGATAATTTTTTACAGCATTAAAATTGTCCCTTTTTGAGGGTCAGTAAAAACGCATTGTTTTGTGTGTGTCCCTTTAAATGCAAATGAGCTGCTGCTCCCGGCACAGAGCTTCAAGAGCTTGTGTGTTAGCAGCTCCGATTACCTCACGCAGACAAGCACTAAAATATCAGAAACTGTTCTGCCTTTTATGTTTAAACTGGAGTCGGACAATGATGGAGAGACTCAAGAAGTGACAACATGTAGAATTGAACAGGACGTTTCTGAATGGTTAGTTGATGAATTTATGTTGCTGATGTGGAGTTAACTATCTTCAATTAGCATATTCTGTCATGTCTATAAATCTATAATCTATAAATCTACAATCTATAAATCGCTCGTGTGGGAACTGTTGAAAGATGCCTACAGAGTGACATGCTATTGCATTTGTGTTACGTACTGTATTGCATGTGAAAAGACGGATGCGACAGCTTGAGAGAGACTCACAAATGTTCTGTACTTCAACAATTCCTTTTCTCTTCGTGGACTGCGGGGACGGGGTTTATGTAAATTTTAGGGTTAGTGATGTCACTAACCCGGGAGGAATGTTGTGTAGTCCCTAACAGCTGTTTGTTGTATTCCTTAAAAAATGATTTCTTTAAAAGCAAATATCTTCCTTTGCTTTGAACTTTGAGCATCGTAACTTTGCAGATGTTGTTTGTGCTCAAACAGCAACATTACACACTAACTAAGTTAGAAAAGTGAAATCATAATCAAGCACCTCTTTAAAATGACATAGGCCTACCAGAATCTAGCCAGACCGAAAACAATGCCTAAACAGTTGAGTGTATTTGGCTTTTGGTTAACATTAACCAAATATTCTGTGTGGCCTAAGTGACGATGGCGCGGTTTCAGAGGAAGAGCATATTTTCAAGTTTCTTTAAATTTGATGACAAAGACAAACTTTTTTCCCCTTTGGAATAACCATGATGAATGAAAAAACGGACTGGAGCACGCATTAAGATATTCATGTTGACTGTACCGAAATATGTTTTGTTTATAGCATCAACAAACTGTTAGAAAATAGTGACCACTTGCACTTTAAAATGCATGTCTGCTTATTTCCCCATATCTGCTTAGCTTTCAATCAGTTAGCATAGCAGAGCTGATTCATTGTTCCAAAACAGACCCTGCCGAATTAGGCTCTAATAACATGCCTGTCGTGTGAGAAGAACATTTGTTTGGACTATGATTGTAGTGAATGCATTCATGTGTGGTACATTAGACCGCTAGTTAGAGAGCATTGTTGTTGTCTATTCATTCCTAACTTCTTTTTTTATTTCCACAAAATATACCTGGGTTTCCATCCACAGTTTAGAGTGAAGGAAAACTTCTATTTTTTTCTTTTGTGTTTCTAACAACTGAAATTCATCAAGAGCATTTTTCCTACACAGCCATTCGCCTTGGAAATATTGAAGGATCTCTCTCCTTCTCTGTGTCACACACACAAACTTTCCCTGTGTTTTCTGCCTTGTAATTTTAGGCTTTTAAAAAGCAACCATTCCTCCAGACTTCCAGACTGTGCAAATCTCCTGAAGTATGTCTATCACCATACAAATCTGTGGTTGAGAGGAGTGTTTGATTGAGCTATAAGTGTAGCGAACCGTCCCTAATGTACAGAGCAGACAGACAGGCAACCAAGAGAACATGTGGTCTATAAATGTACACGTCACACACAGGCATGGTGGTCTCAACTATCTGCTTGTGCTGCCCAAGTCTTTTTCTCCATCCATCTCTCTCTCTCTTCCTTCCAGTCTTTTATTACACTGCAAAAAAATCAGTTAATCAGTATTTTTGTTTTGTTTTCCAGTAAGATAATCATACATAAAGCAAGATAAATGTATTTAATAAAATGTAATTTTTTTTGTGTCATTTTAAGTATAAACCACATAAAATATGCCTCAGGTATCCCTTCACATAGTACAATACCATACTTTTTTAAATCTAGATTTCAGTGAGAGTTGTGTTTTGGGGTGGGTTTAGAGTTAGGGGGGATAATATAAAATTTTTACAGTATGAAAATTATTTTATCTATCGAAAGTCCCCATAAAACATGTAAACCCAACACATATAGCATATATGAAATTACCCATAATAGA